CTGTGAGAGCATAATCCCCTTCCGGTTGAGCCTATCCATTCATGCTGCAGCAATATGGCAGCAATAGTACTATCTCGTAAAAAGCAATGTATTCCTTTGGTACTGCACTAATATTAAAAAATGATTATAACGCTATTAATCTTTACATATAAATAAAGTTGAAGTGTCTGTGTTTAATATACAAGGTCTCTCTATTACCAAGTTTAAATATTTAATTAAACAAAAACTCTATAAAAACGGTTATTATAATATCAATGAATACATGGTTGATAATAACCCCTGGGAATGAAGTGGTCGCTTCCAAGCCGTTTCTAAAATAAATTTTGTAAATATTTTGTAACCATTTACATTTTAAATCCTCCAGCAGAATTTCTGGATGACGTAGTGGTAAGAGATTTAAATGAAAATGATGATAATTAATAAACCAGTCCACTTTAACATAGTGTTTTATTTGTTTTTTTTTCCATTTTGTTCATCAGGTATGTATGTAAGTATGTACCATAGGCCAATGAAATGTGTTTGGTTGATAAGTGATCATTTTGACAATACAAGATTAACTAAATGTAGTTAGTAAGTACTTATGTGTGCTGAAGAAACAGCAGATAGAGCTCGACACTCAATTTATGGTGACAATCATCGAGAGTAAGTGATGAGTTAGAGGCAGATGGTTTCAAGAAATTCGCAAAGTAAAAAAGACGTTTTAGACCACAAGTAGGTAAGTATTCCTATCTTAACTTCGAGCGTTAATAATAAGTTCTAGCACATTTATTTCTTTATTACCTATTTGGTTATGGCAAATCCTAACCTAGAAAGTGACATTAATATTTTTTGGGCTTCATAGCGTTTAAACTTTAAATCGTAAAAATGACTATATGACATTACTTTCTTAGATTACATGTAGTTTTTGTACTATACCTTATACATAAACTTTCACTATCAGGTTTTTAAATGTCTGGAAAGTGGGCACGATTCTTTATTTAAAAAAAATCCCGCTGGGTTTCTTGCTGGTTCTATCCAGGGAGGTAGGTATTTTTCAAATCAGAGGTAAAGTAAAAAATTACTTTCAATAAGAATTACATGTAATCTATATTGAATAAAGAATTATTCTATTCTATTCTATTTAAAAAAGTGGCTTCTATTAAGCTCAGGTAGATTATTGTATGCTATTAAGATATGACATGAGTTATGTTTAAAAGCTTTTATCTGTTTCTCTTGCCGGGCTAATCTTCGGGATGGCTGAACTGACTGTAATGAAACTTTACCAACAGATAAAGAGCAACGCCAGAAATTATCTAGGCTATTTGCTATCCAAAAAAAATTAAATGTTTTTTCTGAAAAACTAAAAACTTGATAAAATTATATATGGTCTTTGATTATTTAAATAATGCCACATATATAGGCGAATTCGGTCGAGGGGCCGAAGCGGGTCGCTAGTATATTAACAGTAGCGTTGCCACCTTTTTTGAACAAATATAGTAATTTAAAAGATACAAAAATATAGTACTTTTGAGAATTTCAGGAAAAAAGTACACATTTGTTTTTAATCTTTATATATTTTTCCATATACATATTTGTTATTCCTCTTCGCTTTGGCCGTTAATAATTTATTACGTTTAAAATAGTTATAGGAATGTGAGCAATTTAGGTTCATATTGTAATAAATTAACAATTCACTTTTAATTAGTTTAATACACGCTCTATTTCTTTCTTCTTTCCCATTTTACACTCATGATGAAAAAAATTCTTTCCGTAAAACTTTCTTGTTCTTGCAGTCACAGTTATAATAAAAAAGCGCGACAGTTGAATTAGAGATAAAAATATGGTACTTTTCGTACTATATTATTTTTCTATAATATATAACACAATTGACTGAAATTATTACGATACTATATATTATAGTACGGGTGGCAACCCTAGTTACAGGTTCCTTGTAATAGACAAAAGACAATAATTAAACAATGGAAATGGACAGTGAAAGGGTTAATACTGGCCAATATTATAAAACAAAAATATCATAGAGTAAGGACTTGATATTAAAAAAAAATAAAAAACGCATTAGTCATACTTCGAATTACACAGCGGTTAAGCCCAACAATAACAAAATTTTACACATCATTAAATTTTAAAACATCTACCATTAATCTTCATATCACACTTTTTGTCGTGCATATTGAATAGGCTTAATTGATAATTCTATATACACATTTTTAATAATAAAAAACCACCACGGGGCCATGATCTCAGAATCACGGAGATCACGACTCGAACCGGCGTCGGCGTGACTCGAAACTTTAAATAAGTATACATACTTTATGCATTAATTAACGTATCATCGCGTTTTTGTTAATCAGATTTCTTTGTTTCACTAAACTAACTACGCATTAATATCGTCATGACGGTATTGCTTTACATCGAAATCATAATATCAGTTGAGCTTTGTTTATTACGTTTCAGGCCTTTATTATCGAATGTTTATATATTTAAGGTAATAACTTCAGTCAAACTTCATTTTAGACTATTTACTTTTATCGACATATAAATAAATTAAATATGTAAACCTATAGGTACCTAATCATATCAACTTCAAATCTTATTTGAAATGATGATATAAAATATTAAGTTAATTAATTTATGAAAGTATTTTCATCGCATAATTCAACAATATTCAATTGTAGTACTATTTGTGTGAGTTTAGGTAACATAATAAAAATTGTATAAAACCATCTTATATATGTCTTTGTATTCAACTTTGAAATGATAAATAAATAAAAAAAATATGACAGTAATATTTCAATCATTAAACTATCTGTATACACAAATTTATAACCTTTTAATTTCGTGCAGTGTAAATCGCTGTCTGTCTAAAATTATTCTTTGTTTTTTATTACTCATCTGCATTATACATTTCGCATTTATTTTTCCGCAAACTAAATTAACAATTTGAAATGTCAAATCTAAAAATAATGTTACTACATTTATTTATGTAATGCAAACCTTAATGTTTGGTTTATTAGAATAGTATATACCAAAGTAACCAACTTCAAGAGGAAAATCCGGATGTTTCGGTAGATTATAATTACAATTTTATTAAATTTATTCTTATTGCTTTTCTTTTCGTTACTTTTCAAAAAACTGTCTATTTTACTATTTTAGAAATAGGAATATAATATTTTTATTCAATATAGATTACAAATAATACTTTTTGAACGTTATTTTTACGTTTAATTTATATAATTTTAATTTATAATCTATACTGTATATCCATAATTCTATAAAGTTTATACGTGGTAGAGACACGCTGCAGCTATATTATGGTTTTAGCACGAATAGGTCGGCACGTCCGGGGAAGGACCATGCTCTCATAGCATACCAGCGTAAAATAGCATCTTAATACAATTATATGTACTATATTAATATTAGTATATGTTTCGTATGGTGAGCGTAGAGATTCGGAGTTCCGTTTTTAATGGAAACGAGGCATTCCATCTCAGTCCTAATGGGTGACAACACAATTCTGCATTTTTAATTCTTAATCGAGGATAGATGTAGATGTCTATGGGCCACAGCAACCACTTACCATCAGGTGGACTGTTTGCTCGTTTGACACCCTTATTCCATAAAAAAGAATAAGTTATTCACGTTATTCGTTTTCGTTTAAACTTTCTAAACTGTTATAATTCCGGTTTAAGCATTAATCATTTTGAACATAAATATTTAAAGTTAAGCAATTAATCAATGTACCTCATTATTTTTGTAAATTCCTTTTTTCTAACGTTACCTAAGTATCGATTTCATTTCTACTATTTTGTATCGTTGCTATAATATAATTATTAAAAATCTAATTGCAGATATTAAAAAAATATTTATTACTGTTGAAATATAGTGATTGGAATATATAAAATGTTAAATATGTTATTAATTCGAATAAAAATAAAAGCGAAGCTAATATTTAAAGGTTCATTTTAGGCTTAGCCGCTCTGAATGGGAGTTAAATGGACGTGAGTAGTGCATATACATCGTGCTTATAATTATCATGGAGATATAAATGTTATACATGCAGTGTTAAAGAACATAAAAATAGATAACTATGATCACTTATAAAATTAAAGACATTTTAAACTTTTGACTAAAACTAAAACTCTACAGTATTTTCTGTTAGCAACGCTAATAATTCATGAAAATCATGATTTTATTCCTAAGACGTGACAAATAAACCCTAATCTGGTTGTGTTTTAGTGTTTTTGTAACGTTAGTCTAGTCGAGAAACAGATTCTGTCCATATACGATGCATGTACGTAGGTATATATACTATATTGTAATAGTGTCTATGTTGCGTGAAGCTTTGTTTCAAAACCTCCGCACAGGGGTTTAGAAAAAGCTCTATACAAACAAAAGTTAAAGATACAGATTAAAATTAAAGAATAATCAATATCATGAATTTCATAGAAATTTTACTTTTAATTGTCAAACGAAATTAGTTTTTAATTTAATAAAATAAAATATAGTGTAACTGGAACTAATGTAGTTTTAGTTTACTGTAATAATATCTAATAAAACAAATATTCACTAATACTGCGTATATTGTTATATAGTATATATGTAAATAGGCAAATTTAATATAGTAAACGATGTGAAGTATTTTTTGGAAGTTAATACATATCTGTAGTTAAGGAAGAGATTTATAATAATTGAAAAGCAAAATTAAAACTATAGATATTAATTTTAAAAACAAATATCAGTAAAAATATCGTAATCTGCAAAAATATACATCTGCGAAAGTGCGGAAGGACTTCACTTTATATTTTTTATAACTTGATTTAATAGGACAGATCAATATCTTATATAATATTGTATCCATAATTAGAATACTTTAATAATGTTTTAAAATATTTTTATTTGTATAAAATTTAGTGTTATTCCAGAAAATTGTTAAATTCACCCTATTTTTCTGTTATTATTTTCATCTTTTTCATATTAACTTTCTAAAATTTAATACTCACCAATAATCACCAAGCACACAGCACAGATCAGAACGATAGATTTGTTCATTGCGGAATATTTTAATCGTGAAATAAAAATCGATATAGGAGAGGTATAATTGACGTTAGAGCGTGAGCGGCGACGGCAAGACACCGAGTGATGCGCCGGCGCACAAAACCGGATTAAAAAGTCCGGGAGTAGCAGCGCCCTAGAACGGTACTATGCAACCTACAGGACGTAGCTTTATTTTTTATTTTTTGTCAAGTATTTCAACAATTTCAGGACTAAGAAACTCGTGCTCAGCGGTAAAGGAAAATATAGTCAAGGAAGTTTCCTGCAGTTGCATATAAAAAAAACTATATCGCACCTTTGGGAACAAGGGGTCACTTCTGCATGTTTTCCAACTTTACAGTAAGAGCATTTAAAAAAATTGAAGTGTTTTTTTTAATAACTCTATACTGTTTTAGAATATTAAGGCGGTTCTAATTGTCCTAAATTAATTATTTCTTCACGGACAATTGTAGCTATTTAAAAAAAATACAAGAAGAGGTTTCTGAAAAACAAGCCTCAATTTATGCAAGGCTACCAAAAGTGACTATTTGTTACAAATAGTGGTTTTATTGCAGAAGTGACCTTTTTAAAAAAATAATAGAATTATGAAAGTATGTATTTTTTATATTTAAGGATAGTTTACGTATATTTTTTATTAAAGTTCTATTTGATTGGTAACGTATACTAACCAAAACAATCAGAAAAAGAAGAAGAATTGTTAAAATACTTTATTTGTTAATAAAATGGCGGATAATCAAATGAAATAGGAGATATTTCCAATATTTTTTATTTGAATTTCAAACAAAAGGCATCAAAATGAAAAAATAATAATGTACATTCGAATGAAAGCACAGAAAATTTTCAAGTTACTGTATAACTGATAATGATAAAACCTTAGTATATACTGAATAGTTATCAAAAATATAATCGTTATAGTATAGATACCATGACAGTAGCATGATGTTTTAGTATCTAAAACCTTTATAAAAGTTAAAGTTGTACTTATTATTTAATAAAATAATCAAAAAATCTCTAAAAGACATGTTTAGGTGCATGGCATGTAAAATCTGAACAGCAGCTGTGTATTTGTTTAGTTTGGCGTTTGCTGATTTGGTTGATTCTGAATCTGAGTTTGAAGATGTAGTAGGAGAGACTGGGGCTGGTAGTGACAGGGGTAGGTAGTTACAGCGGCAACGGTGGCTAAACTGAGAACGCTGTATTGTCGTGAGAAAGATACAAATGATCACGCGACCATCGGCTTTGCGCTCTCCTTTCTGCCAAGGAGGGTCGCGTTCGTATACGGCTTAGAGATCTCTAGTCAGATCGTTAAGCCAAATCCTAAAAGGTTGGGTTTAGTGGGTAAAAGTCACCACATAACCACGCAGCCGGCTGCGTGGTATGCTATGAGCATTCCCAACCTCCCTCCCCCGCTTTCCGGAGGGTTGCCCATATTTGCTTCGGGAGCAAAAAAAAAAACCATCGGCTAGCACGCCGCGCGAACCTGTGGCGCCAGGGCTTTTGTGAGAGGAGCACGTACATGTTGCCGTCAAAACCGCATGTTAGTAACATTTTCGTTTTTTCGTAATATTGGTCTAAAACCTCTTTTCCTTTAAAGCAGATATGTGTGTGTGGAATGTGTGCCCTAATCCTTTCTTATTGCAACGAATTTACGTTTATACAATTATACTTATTTGTGTTTTTACTACTTAACCTTAAAAGGTCAGTTTTGGCGTTGGGGCTAAAAGTGACATTTGCTCGGGGCAGGTTGTTACTTGTTACTACCTACCCCGTAGTGCTGCTTGCCGACTGATATATTTGACTTATTTATTTTTTGCTAATGTAATTTTATTTTTTATTTTTTGTTCATCTTCAATTTATACTAAGCTTTTGTTTAATAACGAAATTTATAATTTTCTGCCGGTTGGAAGTTACCTAAATTTTATTTTTATAAGGCGTAAGTCTAAAAAATAAGATTATAATTTTGTTCAACGAAGTTACTGTTTTTATTTTAATGAGGCAAAAGACTGTTATATAGAAAATATAGTTTGACATTGTATACATAATAATTGTTATAAACTGTCATTAATCTCAATAAAAAGTGTTATATTACATTTGGTTTTTGTTGTAACATTTTGCCCCTTATAGTGTAACAACCACTCCCTGGCGCGGGGCTAAAAGTTACACGCCTCTTTTCCCAGAATTAATTCATTTGTGTCACTTCTAGTAGTCTGGTATCTAAAATTGTTTTTAAATTAATAACCCGAATAATTACTTATACAAGCAAACCTACATTCCGGTAAAACAATCAAACAAACAAAAAATTGCGACACTTTTTAAAAAAAATGTCACAACTAGCCCCAGTCTCCCCTACTCGAACTTGATGACGAAGAAGAGTTTGATGATGAAATAAGTTTCCTTTTACGACCTTTATCGGGTACGAAATCTTTATCTTTATCGCTATCAGTTCCAGAATAATCAGATCAATTACTTTCGGAACTGGTTTCTGGGTCATCTGTATAAATATAGGGTATAATTATGAACAACAAGGGTAAAATAATATAATAACACTTAACATAAAAATTTTAAGCATACTCTGTCCAGACTGAGAAGTTTCTCCTATTGTATTTCCCACTTTGTCATAATTAATTCCTTCTTTAACATTATCTGCTCTTTTTTGATCCTGCCTATATTTTCTTCAATATTATCCGTTCTTAGTTCCTTCAACATAGTCTATTCTTTTTTTCCTGTTCTCTGGTTTCTTTGAATACTTTTAAATCTAAAAATAAATATAATTACAGATCAAAGACGATGTGAAATATTTTATAGATCACAATTACTCCTTTAATGTTTACGGACATTTTTCGTTATCTTTGCTATTATCTTGCTGAGGTACCAGCTCGCAACTTATACGACTTATTTCAGAGCACTATTCCTTACTCAATACTTGTTTTTACTGTACGAAACATTAATTCCACAGACCACTATATACTGATTCCTTGGCGCGTAAGATTACAGAGTAGCAACCCTCGTTTAGACATTATAAAACAAAAAGGTACAAAATATCTATAACATTAATATTAACATTAGAAAGGTAGGAGTATTTTTTGGAGCAAAAACATTTCTATACAAAATTAACATTCCGTTATAATATAAATACTGATCATTACAAAAATAATGTCACTTGACACACAAATAACGTTTTGGTGCCAATGAAAAGTAAAGTTTTATGCTACAATATCATTTATAAAAAGAAGTATCGTTATGTTTACAACAAGCAAATATTGGTTGGCAAGATTTGGTAAAAAACGCGATTCTTCTTCAGAAGTAACATTAATATTCCAAGAAATATGTAAACAAGAATGTTATTACTTACCGTAGTGCCTCTTGGTCACAAATGCGTAAGATCACAATTCGGCTGAAAAAACACTACTGACAGGATGAGACGTTACATTTCAAGCAAACTGAACAATTACGCGAAATAATGTAAGATCCTACCCTCCCTCCCTCAAAACTATGATATTCACGCTATTTTCAGCGTTTTTACTGTGTACATAAAATCGATTATCGCGGTTAAATTTGCATATTTAAGTCGGTTTTGCAACAAATTGCAGAAGTGAAAGAAAAACAAATTGTTCCCAAAGGTGTGATATATAATTATATATTTGTTTATCTTAATTATGTATATTTGAGTCTGAGTATGTTTATTAAATTTTGTATTCTTTAAAGTCCCGCTGGGTTTCTTGTTGGTTCTTCCCAGGACAGAGGTTTTTTTCGAACCAGTGGTAAAGTAAAAATGACTTTCAATAACAATTAAAACCCGTAATCTATATTGAATAAAAAATCAAATAATAGCTTTTAATAAAAATAAAAGCCGATTTCAAAGAATTAAAAAGGATAAAATATTTCACATTCTGAGACCGGGACTTAAATTCTTATACACACGTCATTATCTTAAAGTTACAAAGTTACAGCCTATATACGTCTTACTGCTGAGCACAGGCCTCCCCTCATTTCTGAGAGGGTTCTTCTTTATTCACTTCGTTATCTTGTCAGAATAAAACGAATAACACCTTTTGCTGGCTCTACATACGCGTAAAACCCGATCACAACTGTGGATTAAATACTGTTTAACTTCAGAAATTGATGATGTTAGTACCAAGACTACTCAGAGACACTCATAGGCAGAAAAGTTCCGCTTAAGATATACAGCTCACAGCTCTTTACGATAGAATGGTTTTTTGTTTGACGTTGGCTTCTTTTCTTTGATGTACACTTATGAATAACGTAAACTGGAAATATTACGAGCAAAATTAAAATAAATATTATTATAAATAGAGCCAAAGATTTATATTACGTTATCGTAACGATTATTTTTGTTGTGATTTATATTACCCTAACATTTTAATTTTGAGTTGCGTTAAAAATATCACTGTTCTGATAATAACACTGTGTGTACGAAATTCCACTATTTGCGTAGTATTTCAAGTCATAAGTGCTTGATAAATTTCATCTATATAAGGTCGAAGTTCAAAATGAAATCTTGGCTATTTTTTGAATATTGTTTAGAATGAACACGGTTTTTTATTAGCTTTTAAAATCCATTGCTTTCTCTCAAAAGATTCAGGTACCTCACCATGCTGAGTTGGTGAGCGTAAAGCCGTAAGCCGCAAGTAGCACTGGGAATGATGTTTATCACTAATATATGATATTAGATTTTAGTATATGTGTGATATTTACTTCACATTAGTCGGTCGTAAGAGTCCCTTTTTCACCTATGCAGAAAAGGCCTTTTTCCATCTGTGAGTCTAAGTATTACAAAATATGTGATAACATATATTTTGTAATACTTAGAAATTTCTTAATGAGCATATATATAAATGTATATAACACCTTCATTAAACTTGTTATCAATTACTAAGTCACGTATATTAAACGTCGCTGCGTAGTTTTGCTTATGTACGTTTTATTATTCACTATCCTTATCCAGTACAGTCTCTTACCTGGACATGGGCAGCTCC